AGGCGCTTTGAGGAGACGCTCTGAGGAGGCGCTCTGAGGAGACGCTCTGAGGAGGAGCTCTGAGGAGGAGCTCTGAGGAGACGCTCTGAGGAGGAGCTCTGAGGAGACGCTCTGAGAAGACGCTCTGAGGAGAAGCTCTGAGGAGGAGCTCTGAGGAGACGCTCTGAGGAGGAGCTCTGAGGAGACGCTTTGAGGAGGAGCTCTGAGGAGGAGTTCTGACCGCTCCTTCCTTCCTCATTCCTCCTTCCTTCTTCCTCCTTGCTTCCTGCTTCCTGCTTCCTTCCTCCTTCCTCCTTCCTATCCCCAGCACCTCCTTGACACATATTTCATCCGTCTGCGTCCGACAGACTCCTCTCGACGTGTTTTCACTTGAGTTTTGACCTCGGGCTTCGAACTCTTTCCAAATAGAAAAGGAAGTGGTGGATAATTCCTGATGTCGCCGACGCTGATCCTGTTCCAGCTGCAGAGAGACTTTGACAGACGGACAAAAGCAGAAAGCAGCGAATTGAAGAAAGGAAAAAGCTGAAAGTGAAATTTTGTCGCAGCTCCAAGAATGTTTTTTGTGTGGAGGAGACCAGCAGGAGTTTTAAATGTGTCAGACTCAGTGGGAAGCGGAAAACCATTTCTATGTTTGTCATTTTGAGATAACAATAGCGTTTTCACCACAAACGCAGAAATGTATCGAGTTTCATTCTAAATAAAAGCAGTTCTTAAAAAACAACTAAACATCTAAACTGCATCAATATGTTTCTTATAGTCTGTCCTGGTCTTTTTTTTTATTTTTTATATATTTTAGTGCAAACTAGATAAAATCTCACTTTTGGCTCTGGACTGATGTGTGACGTGCGTCTCTCTGCGTCTGTGGTATAAATCATCTATTCATCATCATCTATTATAATAACTGGATAGAGTATAGAACCATGTGCTCGGGGGTCCTCGTGGTACTGCAGACTGAACCAGACTAAACCAGACTAAACCAGACTAAACCAGACTAAATTCACGAGGGCTACCCAGAAATTTTCCCCATAGAACTCTGACCGAGAACCTGACAGAGAACCTGACCGAGAACCTGACAGAGAACCTACAGAGAACCTGACAGAGAACCTGACAGAGAACCTGACCGAGAACCTGACAGAGAACCTGACAGAGAACCTGACAGAGAACCTACAGAGAACCTGACAGAGAACCTGACCGAGAACCTGACAGAGAACCTGACAGAGAACCTGACAGAGAACCTGACCGAGAACCTGACAGAGAACCTGACAGAGAACCTACAGAGAACCTACAGAGAACCTACAGAGAACCTGACAGAGAACCTGACAGAGAACCTACAGAGAACCTGACAGAGAACCTGACAGAGAACCATGACAGAGAACCTGACAGAGAACCATGACAGAGAACCTGACCGAGAACCTGACAGAGAACCATGACAGAGAACCTGACAGAGAACCTGACAGAGAACCTGACAGAGAACCTGACAGAGAACCTGACAGAGAACCTGACAGAGAACCTGACAGAGAACCTACAGCTTTCATAAAGATCAGAGTTTGTGTGGATGTTAGTGTTCCTTGTCGTCCTGAACTTTTTTTCTTCTTAAATCCTTCGGTTTTCTTTAAATCCACACTTTACTGCCACAAACTCTGCTCCTTTCCTTCCCGCTCTGACTCCGCTCTGATTGGTCAGAGCGCGGCCGAGCCCCTCTGTGCACGTGCATGAAAGCAACACACGCACGTTTGGCAAAAAGCATCATGGGAGCTCGTCCACTGCACAGAACCAGGAGGACCAGACGATGCCCAAATATGGGCGAGTTCCACTAATCTCTCGGTCTCTGTGAAGTCCCATGAACCACTGAGCACAAGCCGTTCATTTGAACAGGACGCCATCTTGGATCACCGGGGCTTGGTAAAAACCCATCCAAGTCTCACGAGTTGACAACTGTTGGATTTTTTAACAAGTGAGCTGTCAATCACAGCCCAGACCACGCCCCCTCTAAGCCCCCCTCTGGTCCCCCCTCTGGACCCCCTCTGGTCCCGTCCCCCCTCTGGACCCCCCTCTGGTCCCCCCTCTGGTCCCCCCTCTGGTCCCCCCTCTGGTCCCCCCTCTGGCCCCTTCTCTGGTCCCCCCTCTGGTCCCCCCTCTGGCCCCTTCTCTGGTCCCCCCTCTGGTCCCCCCTCTGGTCCCCCCTCTGGCCCCTTCTCTGGTCCCCCCTCTGGTCCCCCCTCTGGCCCCTTCTCTGGTCCCCCCTCTGGTCCCCCCTCTGGTCCCCCCTCTGGTCCCCCCTCTGGTCCCGTCCCCCCTCTGGTCCCCCCTCTGGTCCCCCCTCTGGTCCCCCCTCTGGTCCCCCCTCTGGACCCCCCTCTGGTCCCCCCTCTGGTCCCCCCTCTGGACCCCCCTCTGGTCCCCCCTCTGGTCCCCCCTCTGGCCCCTTCTCTGGTCCCCCCTCTGGTCCCCCCTCTGGCCCCTTCTCTGGTCCCCCCTCTGGTCCCCCCTCTGGTCCCCCCTCTGGTCCCCCCTCTGGTCCCGTCCCCCCTCTGGTCCCCCCTCTGGTCCCCCCTCTGGTCCCCCCTCTGGTCCCGTCCCCCCTCTGGACCCCCCTCTGGTCCCCCCTCTGGTCCCCCCTCTGGTCCCCCCTCTGGTCCCCCCTCTGGCCCCTTCTCTGGTCCCCCCTCTGGTCCCCCCTCTGGCCCCTTCTCTGGTCCCCCCTCTGGTCCCCCCTCTGGTCCCCCCTCTGGTCCCCCCTCTGGCCCCTTCTCTGGTCCCCCCTCTGGTCCCCCCTCTGGCCCCTTCTCTGGTCCCCCCTCTGGTCCCCCCTCTGGTCCCCCCTCTGGTCCCCCCTCTGGTCCCGTCCCCCCTCTGGTCCCCCCTCTCCCCCCTCTGGTCCCCCCTCTGGACCCCCCTCTGGTCCCCCCTCTGGTCCCCCCTCTGGTCCCCCCTCTGGACCCCCCTCTGGTCCCCCCTCTGGTCCCCCCTCTGGCCCCTTCTCTGGTCCCCCCTCTGGTCCCCCCTCTGGCCCCTTCTCTGGTCCCCCCTCTGGTCCCCCCTCTGGTCCCCCCTCTGGTCCCCCCTCTGGTCCCGTCCCCCCTCTGGTCCCCCCTCTGGTCCCCCCTCTGGTCCCCCCTCTGGTCCCCCCTCTGGTCCCGTCCCCCCTCTGGACCCCCCTCTGGTCCCCCCTCTGGTCCCCCCTCTGGTCCCCCCTCTGGCCCCTTCTCTGGTCCCCCCTCTGGTCCCCCCTCTGGCCCCTTCTCTGGTCCCCCCTCTGGTCCCCCCTCTGGTCCCCCCTCTGGTCCCGTCCCCCCTCTGGTCCCCCCTCTGGTCCCCCCTCTGGACCCCCCTCTGGTCCCCCCTCTGGTCCCCCCTCTGGTCCCCCCTCTGGTCCCCCCTCTGGACCCCCCCTCTGGTCCCCCCTCTGGTCCCCCCTCTGGCCCCTTCTCTGGTCCCCCCTCTGGTCCCCCCTCTGGCCCCTTCTCTGGTCCCCCCTCTGGTCCCCCCTCTGGTCCCCCCTCTGGTCCCCCCTCTGGACCCCCCTCTGGACCCCCCTCTGGTCCCCCCTCTGGTCCCGTCCCCCCTCTGGTCCCCCCTCTGGTCCCCCCTCTGGTCCCGTGGCTGAGCACAGGTGTTTAGTCGTCCTTTAAAAGAGATGAAGCTGAATAGTTTCTAACATTAAAGCTTCGCACTGACGCCGCAGAGTCAGGGTGGTCATTTTTAGTTCTTGTTTTAATTTGTGTGCGGTGTCTTTTGAGTTTTACTTCCTGTTCGGTTGTTGGCCCCGCCCTGATGTGTTGTACCTGTGCCTCCCAGTGAAAGTCCCTGTGCTCTCTCCCTCTGGTCCTCAGTCCGTTGTGTGTTTGTTCTCTTGTTTACTTTTAGTTGTGTTTCCTTTTTGGATTCTTGTTTATTCATTTTTTAATATATATATTTTTTTGCCGTATTGAATTTTGGGTCCTCCTTTTTGAAATGTGACCAAAGCTCGAGTCCGTACAAGAACCAGGAAGTAGGATCACATTAGTCCTGACTAGAACCAGGAAGTAAAATCACATTAGTCCTGACTAGAACCAGGAAGTACCATCACAATAGTCCTGACTAGAACCAGGAAGTACCATCACAATAGTCCTGACTAGAACCAGGAAGTAAAATCACATTAGTCCTGACTAGAACCAGGAAGTACCATCACAATAGTCCTGACTAGAACCAGGAAGTACCATCACAATAGTCCTGACTAGAACCAGGAAGTACCATCACAATAGTCCTGACTAGAACCAGGAAGTACCATCACAATAGTCCTGACTAGAACCAGGAAGTACCATCACATTAGTCGTGACTAGAACCAGGAAGTACCATCACATTAGTCGTGACTAGAACCAGGAAGTACCATCACATTAGTCGTGACTAGAACCAGGAAGTACCATCACATTAGTCGTGACTAGAACCAGGAAGTACCATCACATTAGTCGTGACTAGAACCAGGAAGTACCATCACAATAGTCCTGACTAGAACCAGGAAGTACCATCACATTAGTCCAGACTAGAACAGGAAGTACCATCACATTAGTCCAGACTAGAACAGGAAGTACCATCAAATTAGTCCTGACGAGAACCAGGGAGTACCATCACAGCAGTCCTGGTCTCAGGTCTTTGCTTCTCGTGGCTCAGAGACTAGACTTAAAAGCAGCTCTGTTTGTCTCTCCATGGAGCACAGGGACTGGCCTCCTGCTGGGACTCTGAGGAGCACAGGGACTGGCCTCCTGCTGGGACTCTGAGGAGCACAGGGACTGGCCTCCTGCTGGGACTCTGAGGAGCACAGGGACTGACTTCCTGCTGGGGCTCTGAGGAGCACAGGGACTGGACTCCTGCTGGGACTCTGAGGAGCACAGGGACTGGCCTCCTGCTGGGACTCTGAGGAGCACAGGGACTGGCCTCCTGCTGGGACTCTGAGGAGCACAGGGACTGGCCTCCTGCTGGGACTCTGAGGAGCACAGGGACTGGACTCCTGCTGGGACTCTGGGGAGCACAGGGACTGGCCTCCTGCTGGGACTCTGAGGAGCACAGGGACTGGCCTCCTGCTGGGACTCTGAGGAGCACAGGGACTGGCCTCCTGCTGGGACTCTGAGGAGCACAGGGACTGGCCTCCTGCTGGGACTCTGAGGAGCACAGGGACTGGACTCCTGCTGGGACTCTGAGGAGCACAGGGACTGGCCTCCTGCTGGGACTCTGAGGAGCACAGGGACTGGCCTCCTGCTGGGACTCTGAGGAGCACAGGGACTGGACTCCTGCTGGGACTCTGAGGAGCACAGGGACTGGCCTCCTGCTGGGACTCTGAGGAGAGCACAGGGACTGGCCTCCTGCTGAAGGAGCACAGGGACTGGCCTCCTGCTGGGACTCTGAGAAGCACAGGGACTGGCCTCCTGCTGGGACTCTGAGGAGCACAGGGACTGGCCTACTTTTATACCCTGCCATGGTTACCACAGTTACACAGTTCTCTCACATGGTCACAGAGCCCAGGCTGCAGACTGGGACCAGAAGTGGCAGAACGAGTTTGCAGCCACGGACCATGTGAGACCAGTTTGTTGCACGGTCCCTTTCCTCTCTCTGTGTATCGTGGACTTTAGTGCATTATTCATTCTCTTCACACATGGAGGAGGTAAGCCAAGACTGACAGACACCAGTTGGCACCATAAATATTCACTTATTCCACAGACACATCTCTCATCTCCACAGACACATCCCCACAGACACATCTCTCATCTCCACAGACACATCTCCACAGACACATCTCCACAGACACATCTCCACAGACACATCTCCACAGACACATCTCCACAGACACATCTCCACAGACACATCTCCACAGACACATCCCCACAGACACATCTCCACAGACACATCCCCACAGACACATCTCCACAGACACATCTCCACAGACACATCTCCACAGACACATCTCCACAGACACATCTCCACAGACACATCTCCACAGACACATCTCCACAGACACATCTCCACAGACACATCTCCACAGACACATCTCCACAGACACATCTCCACAGACACATCCCCACAGACACATCTCCACAGACACATCCCCACAGACACATCTCCACAGACACATCTCCACAGACACATCCCCACAGACACATCCCCACAGACACATCTCCACAGACACATCTCCACAGACACATCTCCACAGACACATCTCCACAGACACATCTCCACAGACACATCTCCACAGACACATCTCCACAGACACATCCCCACAGACACATCTCCACAGACACATCCCCACAGACACATCTCCACAGACACATCTCCACATCTCTCATCTCCACAGACACATCTCCACAGACACATCTCCACAGACACATCTCCACAGACACATCTCCACAGACACATCTCCACAGACACATCTCCACAGACACATCCCCACAGACACATCTCCACAGACACATCCCCACAGACACATCTCTACAGACACATCTCCACAGACACATCTCCACAGACACATCCCCACAGACACATCTCCACAGACACATCCCCACAGACACATCTCCACAGACACATCTCCACAGACACATCTCCACAGACACATCTCCACAGACACATCTCCACAGACACATCTCCACAGACACATCTCCACAGACACATCCCCACAGACACATCTCCACAGACACATCTCCACAGACACATCTCCACAGACACATCCCCACAGACACATCTCCACAGACACATCTCCACAGACACATCCCACAGACACATCTCCACAGACACATCTCCACAGACACATCTCCACAGACACATCTCCACAGACACATCTCCACAGACACATCTCCACAGACACATCCCACAGACACATCTCCACAGACACATCCCCACAGACACATCTCCACAGACACATCTCCACACTCTCTCATCTCCACAGACACATCTCCACAGACACATCTCCACAGACACATCTCCACAGACACATCTCCACAGACACATCTCCACAGACACATCTCCACAGACACATCCCACAGACACATCTCCACAGACACATCCCCACAGACACATCTCCACAGACACATCTCCACAGACACATCTCCACAGACACATCTCCACAGACACATCTCCACAGACACATCCCCACAGACACATCTCCACAGACACATCCCCACAGACACATCTCCACAGACACATCTCCACATCTCTCATCTCCACAGACACATCTCCACAGACACATCTCACGACACATCTCCACAGACACATCTCCACAGACACATCTCCACAGACACATCTCCACAGACACATCTCCACAGACACATCTCCACAGACACATCTCCACAGACACATCTCACCCATCCACAGACACATCTCCACGACACTTCCACAGACACATCTCCACAGACACATCTCCACAGACACATCTCCACAGACACATCTCCACAGACACATCTCCACAGACACATCCCCACAGACACATCTCCACAGACACATCCCCACAGACACATCTCCACAGACACATCTCCACAGACACATCCACCACCACATCTCAGACACATCTCCACAGACACATCCCACAGACACATCTCCACAGACACATCTCCACAGACACATCTCCACAGACACATCTCCACAGACACACATCTCCACAGACACATCTCCACAGACACATCTCCACAGACACATCTCCACAGACACATCCCACAACACAGACACATCTCCACAGACACATCTCCACAGACACATCTCCACAGACACATCCCACAGACACATCTCCACAGACACATCTCCACAGACACATCTCCACAGAACACTCCACAGACACATCTCCACAGACACATCTCCACAGACACATCTCCACAGACACATCTCCACAGACACATCTCTCCAACACACCACATCTCCACAGACACATCTCCACAGACACATCTCCACAGACACATCTCCACAGACACATCTCCCACACACATCTCCACAGACACATCTCCACAGACACATCTCCACAGACACATCTCCACAGACACATCTCCACAGACACATCCCACAGACACATCTCCACAGACACATCTCCACTCCACAGACACATCTCCACAGACACATCTCCACAGACACATCTCCACAGACACATCTCCCAGACACATCTCCACAGACACATCTCCACAGACACATCTCCACAGACACATCTCCACAGACACATCTCCACAGACACATCTCCACAGACACATCTCCACAGACACATCTCCACAGACACATCTCCACAGACACATCTCCACAGACACATCTCCACAGACACATCTCCACAGACACATCTCCACTCACAGACACATCTCCACAGACACATCTCCCACACACACATCTCCACAGACACATCTCCACAGACACATCTCCACAGACACATCTCCACAGACACATCTCCACAGACACATCTCCACAGACACATCTCCACAGACACATCTCCACAGACACATCCCACAGACACATCTCCACAGACACATCTCCACAGACACATCTCCACAGACACACATCTCCACAGACACATCTCCACAGACACATCTCCACAGACACATCTCCACAGACACATCTCCACAGACACATCTCCACAGACACATCTCACAGACACATCTCCACAGACACATCTCCACAGACACATCTCCACAGACACATCTCCACAGACACATCTCCACAGACACATCTCCACAGACACATCTCCACAGACACATCTCCACAGACACATCCCCACAGACACATCTCCCACAGACACATCCCCACAGACACATCTCCACAGACACATCTCCACAGACACATCTCCACAGACACATCCCCACAGACACATCCCCACAGACACATCCCCACAGACACATCTCCACAGACACATCTCCACAGACACATCTCCACAGACACATCTCCACAGACACATCCCCACAGACACATCTCCACAGACACATCTCCACAGACACATCTCCACAGACACATCTCCACAGACACATCTCCACAGACACATCTCCACAGACACATCTCCACAGACACATCTCCACAGACACATCTCCACAGACACATCTCCACAGACACATCTCCACAGACACATCTCCACAGACACATCCCCACAGACACATCTCCACAGACACATCTCCACAGACACATCTCCACAGACACATCTCCACAGACACATCTCCACAGACACATCTCCACAGACACATCTCCACAGACAAAATGGACTGAAACAGACATACAGGGATAGTGTGGACTTCTTTATGATAAAGCGGCTCCATATTTGTGTTTGCAGCTGTCGCCTCGTCTCGCTGTAACCAGTGCATTTGGGCCGATCGGCTGTCACTGCCCGGCTCCTGTTTTATTCATTCCAGACGAAGCAGAAGAAGAAGAAGACGAAGACGAGTCCAAGACGGAATGGAAAAATACGACAGCAGCAGTCACTCAGAGGAAGCTGCCCTCTCCACACGGACCAGATTTGTATTCAGGAAACCAGGGCAAAGCGGAGAAACAAACAGGACGACGACATCTGAGTTAGCGGCGTTTAGTTTTAATGAACAGACACTTATTTTTACGACGGGAATGAAAATAAACAGGTCCAGGGTTTACACACAGAGGAGAGAAAATACTGTGTCATTAGGAAGACAAACAATCCATATTTAATCACATTCATGGACTTTATTTTTGCCTAATGGAGCAGATTGTCACTGGCTCTAACAGAAGGGAGCACATCACCCCTGTGCTAGTGTCACTCCACCGGCTCCTTCTGCGTTTCAGAAGTGATTTGAAGATTTTACTGAATAGCTTTAAAGCTCGTTTGTCGTCCAATGTCGATTCCATGTTTGCTCCTGGATTTTGGGTTCTGTTTTTCATTTCCCCACAGTCATTATGGAATATTTTACGCCCATGTTTGGTCGTAGTTTTAAATATAGATGTTTATTATGACTACAAGTAAGTAGCTCTCTGACTCTTCTGTTGTGTTTTAATAGCTCTCTTCTGTTGTGTTTTAATAGCTCTCTTCTGTTGTGTTTTAATAGCTCTCTTCTGTTGTGCTGTAGTAGCTATCTTCTGTTGTGCTGTAGTAGCTCTCTTCTGTTGTAGTAGCTCTCCGATAGAGAAGGGTGTAGCTCTTGCTGTAGATGTCATTCGGTCCATCCTTCATATTTAGTGTTTACAGTTAAATCCTGATAACCTTGGCGTCTTGTCGATCCTCTGCGGCGGCGAATATGAAATCAATTATTCATTAAAATTAAAAAACCATTTGAAATAGATCAATAAGTCGTTCCAAACAGGTCCATAGGAGGCGGAGGCGGACCTCGATCAGACTGAGTTAGTTTGTCTCAGAGTTTGAATCAGGGTCTGTCTGTGTGGAGTTTGCATGTTCTCCCCGTGTCTGCTTAGGTTTCCTCCAGGTACTCCGGTTTCCACTACCACTGAAAACGTGTACAAAAGGTCAAATCTTCCAGCTCTGGTTTACCGAGAGAATATCCATCCATTTCTGGGTCGGGGGGTGGCAGTCAGAGCACCAGCCCCTCACTGAGCCTCCTGCAGGTGCTGAGTCCACAGGGGCCTTGGTCTTTCAGCGGGGGCTTCAGGCAAAGTGGGGTTAAGTATCTTGCCAAAGGACACAATGACAGCAGACATCAGTTTGAGTCTTGAAGTTGATCTCAGGGTGGGATTGAACCCACAACCTTCAGGCCTAAAGGCCAATGCTTTACCAACTGAGCCACTGTCGCCCCTAGAGAATATCTTATTCTGTGTAAAGAAGAGCTTTACTTAGGAGCAGCTTCAGGGACAGACTGATCCACCCTCATCGTGAGAAAGAGAGTCTCAGTGTCTCTGCCTCTCTGTCTCGGCCTCTCTGTCTCTGCCTCTGTCTCTCTGTCTCTGCCTCTCTGTCTCTGCCTCTGCCTCTCTGTCTCTCTGCCTCTCTGTCTCTCTGTCTCTCTGCCTCTCTGTCTCTCTGCCTCTGTCTCTCTGCCTCTCTGTCTCTCTGCCTCTGCCTCTCTGTCTCTCTGCCTCTCTGCCTCTCTGTCTCTCTGCCTCTGCCTCTCTGCCTCTCTGTCTCTCTGCCTCTGCCTCTCTGTCTCTCTGCCTCTGCCTCTCTGCCTCTCTGTCTCTCTGCCTCTGCCTCTCTGTCTCTCTGTCTCTCTGCCTCTGCCTCTCTGTCTCTCTGCCTCTCTGTCTCTGTCTCTGCCTCTGCCTCTCTGTCTCTCTGTCTCTCTGCCTCTGCCTCTCTGCCTCTCTGTCTCTCTGCCCCTGCCTCTCTGTCTCTCTGTCTCTCTGCCTCTGCCTCTCTGTCTCTCTGCCTCTGCCTCTCTGCCTCTCTGTCTCTGCCTCTGTCTCTCTGTCTCTCTGCCTCTGTCTCTCTGCCTCTCTGTCTCTCTGCCTCTGCCTCTCTGCCTCTGCCTCTCTGTCTCTCTGCCTCTCTGTCTCTCTGTCTCTGTCTCTGTCTCTGTCTCTCTGCCTCTTGTCTCTCTGTCTCTCTGCCTCTTGTCTCTGTCTCTCTGTCTGCCTCTCTGCCTCTGCCTCTCTGTCTCTCTGCCTCTCTGTCTCTCTGTCTCTGTCTCTGTCTCTGTCTCTGTCTCTCTGCCTCTGCCTCTTGTCTCTCTGTCTCTCTGTCTCTCTGTCTCTGTCTCTCTGTCTGTCTCTCTGCCTCTGTCTCTCTGTCTCTGTCTCTGTCTCTCTGCCTCTGCCTCTTGTCTCTCTGTCTCTCTGCCTCTTGTCTCTGCGCTGGAGTCTGTGGATGCTTTTGGCTCTCTGCACCGTTCCTGTGTCCGCCGGCGCTCCTCTCACTTTATGAGCAATAACGGCGTCGTTTGGACCGAGCGCGAGACCTGGGCGTTGCCAAATCAGGCAGTTACCCCTGATTTAAACGTGTGGCGTTGCCCAGACTCACTCACGGAGCAGAGCAGAGCGTAAACAAGGAGGCAGAGCGAGGATCCTCCAGAGAGATCAGTCTGAGCACAAGCTGGAACCATCGATCCCAAACTGCTCTTGTTAAAGTGGAAATAAGAGCAGAGCATGAAAAAGCATGTTGTGTTTTACTACAGGAGCTGGAAACACATCAAGACGATATTTGTCGGTTAAAAAAGAAGAAGAAGAAGTCTGTGATAGTGGTAACCGTTGACATTATTATTGATCCAAAACAATGTTATAGACAGAATGATATCAGTTCCACAGGCTGCAAGTAAAGGTGCCAATCAGCAGGTTTTTATTAGCCTGGTCTTACCACACCATGGTACTCATTTCATTTCATACTAAGGTCTGGATTGTCTCCATTGACTCCGTGAACAGGTGGGAGGGGCTAACTCCTTTTGCAGATTGAAACCATTGGATCTGAGTTTACTGTGACGTAATGAGCCCGAGTGAGTGCCTGAAACTGTTTTTGAATGATCTAAAATGTGGGAAATAGATAGATTGATTGATCCTCTGCATGTCTCAGACTCAGAGGAACCGGGAAAAACTGCTTAGACAAAAATGGAAAGAAGCTAGTACTGCTAAGATAACTTATTTACATTTTTTAATTAAAATATCCTTCTGATCAGTTAAACATAAAACATAATTAACTGACAAACCACTGAGCGTCAGTAGCTCACATGTTTCTCTAATAAAACTGTCACTTACATAATGTTGATCTGTGTAATATATTTGTATTGGAGCTTTCTGTGTCTCACTCTGTACCTGTGATCACCAGTATCTGCCTCTCGCTCTGTACCTGTGATCACCAGTATCTGCCTCTCGCTCTGTACCTGTGATCACCAGTATCTGCCTCTCACTCTGTACCTGTGATCACCAGTATCTGCCTCTCGCTCTGTACCTGTGATCACCAGTATCTGCCTCTCGCTCTGTACCTGTGATCACCAGTATCTGCCTCTCACTCTGTACCTGTGATCACCAGTATCTGCCTCTCGCTCTGTACCTGTGATCACCAGTATCTGCCTCTCACTCTGTACCTGTGATCACCAGTATCTGCCTCTCGCTCTGTACCTGTGATCACCAGTATCTGCCTCTCGCTCTGTACCTGTGATCACCAGTATCTGCCTCTCACTCTGTACCTGTGATCACCAGTATCTGCCTCTCGCTCTGTACCTGTGATCACCAGTATCTGCCTCTCGCTCTGTACCTGTGATCACCAGTATCTGCCTCTCACTCTGTACCTGTGATCACCAGTATCTGCCTCTCGCTCTGTACCTGTGATCACCAGTATCTGCCTCTCACTCTGTACCTGTGATCACCAGTATCTGCTGCATTTACACACTGCCTCTCACTCTGTACCTGTGATCACCAGTATCTGCCTCTCACTCTGTACCTGTGATCACCAGTATCTGCCTCCCACTCTGTACCTGTGATCACCAGTATCTGCCTCTCACTCTGTACCTGTGACCACCAGTATCTGCCTCTCACTCTGTACCTGTGATCACCAGTATCTGCCTCTCACTCTGTACCTGTGATCACCAGTATCTGCCTCTCACTCTGTACCTGTGACCACCAGTATCTGCCTCTCACTCTGTACCTGTGATCACCAGTATCTGCCTCCCACTCTGTACCTGTGATCACCAGTATCTGCCTCTCGCTCTGTACCTGTGATCACCAGTATCTGCCTCTCACTCTGTACCTGTGACCACCAGTATCTGCCTCTCACTCTGTACCTGTGATCACCAGTATCTGCCTCTCACTCTGTACCTGTGATCACCAGTATCTGCCTCTCACTCTGTACCTGTGACCACCAGTATCTGCCTCTCACTCTGTACCTGTGATCACCAGTATCTGCCTCTCACTCTGTACCTGTGATCACCAGTATCTGCTGCATTTACACACTGCCTCTCACTCTGTACCTGTGATCATTAGTATCTGCCTCTCGCTCTGTACCTGTGATCACCAGTATCTGCTGCATTTACACACTGCCTCTCACTCTGTACCTGTGATCATTAGTATCTGCCTCTCGCTCTGTACCTGTGATCACCAGTATCTGCTGCATTTACACACTGCCTCTCACTCTGTACCTGTGATCATTAGTATCTGCCTCTCGCTCTGTACCTGTGATCATTAGTATCTGCTGCATTTACACACTGCCTCTCACTCTGTACCTGTGATCACCAGTATCTGCTGCATTTACACACTGCCTCTCACTCTGTACCTGTGATCACCAGTATCTGCTGCATTTACACACTGCCTCTCACTCTGTACCTGTGATCATCAGTATCTGCTGCATTTAAGTAAGTAAGTAAGTAAGTTTTTATTTATATACCGCCTTTTCACTGCAGATCTGAGTCTCAAAGCGGTTTACAATTGTTAATTTTGGGCATTTGTCTCTCACTCCACACAGAGATGGGAGGGGCCAGTACAGGAGGCACATGCCAGAACTATTGGATATATTTTTAGTGGTAGGGGAAACCGGAGTACCCGGAGGAAACCTACGCAGACACGGGGAGAACATGCAAACTCCACTCAGAAAGGCCCTGGTCCGGCCGGGATTCGAACCCAGGACCTTCTTGCTGAGAGGCGAGAGTGCTATCCACTCAGCCACCGTGCCGCCCAGATTTACACACTGCCTCTCACTCTGTACCTGTGATCATTAGTATCTGCCTCTTGCTCTGTACCTGTGATCACCAGTATCTGCTGCATTTACACACTGCCTCTCACTCTGTACCTGTGATCACCAGTATCTGCTGCATTTACACACTGCCTTGTATTCCGATGCTTTCCGCTGGTGCAGCAACCCGCCTCCTCCCCATCATCACCAAAACAGTGGCTCATGACATACACTTAATATTCACTTATCTGTGACCGACCAATACAGGACCTCTTCATCTTTATCTTAATCCTAGCTTTGTTTGAGTTACTTTTATTATCCATCCATGACGTTCCGGTCGTTGAAGGCAGCGTTTGTCGTTCAGTGAGATAATCTGTCCAATGGAAAAACTTTACGAAGCCAAATCCCAAAGACAGGCGTCCTCAGTGAGCTGCAGGAGGCTGTGTTCAAACCACACATTTACACTTGAAAAGAAGCAGCAGAAGAGCCGCACATTAGCAGCTAACGACTCATTAGCATCTCCTCTTCTTCTTAACAAGTTCAAGTTTCTTTGTTGTCTCTGTATCGACCCACTCTCGTCTGGAGCTCTCGCTTTAATTCTGTGCAAATTAACGTCTGAAAGAAGCGAGATGCTTTTAGGTTCAGAACTGAGAGAAAGTCTTTGTCTGCGTCTGTCTGAGGACCAGGACCGGTCCCCAGTCCTCAGACAGACCGGTCCTGGTTCTGGTTCTGGTCATCCGCTGTGGTCCGGTTTTGATAATGGACGTGGGCGGTTGGAGAAACTTAGCCAAGATTTTGGAGGCGGCGCTCGCGGGAAGTTGACAGCAGCTCAACCCAGATCTCCAACGACGGTGGCCCACAAATTATTCATCCACATCAGAGCAGAAGCCAGGGGGCGCCAGAGAGACCACAGAGACCACAGAGACCAGACAGAGACCAGACAGAGACCACGGAGACCAGACAGAGACCACAGAGACCAGACAGAGACCACAGAGAGACCACACAGAGACCACAGAGACCAGAGACCAGACAGAGACCACGGAGACCACACAGAGACCACACAGAGACCACACAGAGACCACACAGAGACCAGAGACCACACAGAGATCAGACAGAGACCACACAGAGACCACACAGAGACCAGACAGAGACCACGGAGACCAGACAGAGACCACACAGAGACCACAGAGACCAGACAGAGACCACAGAGAGACCAAACAGAGACCACAGAGACCAGAGACCATACAGAGACCACGGAGACCAGACAGAGACCACACAGAGACCACACAGAGACCAGATACCACACAGAGATCAGACAGAGACCACACAGAGACCACACAGAGACCAGACAGAGACCAGACAGAGACCAGAGACCACACAGAGACCACACAGAGACCACAGAGACCATACAGAGACCACGGAGACCAGACAGAGACCACACAGAGACCACACAGAGACCACAGAGAGACCAGAGACCACACAGAGATCAGACAGAGACCACACAGAGACCACACAGAAACCACAGAGAGACCAGAGACCACACAGAGATCAGACAGAGACCACACAGAGACCACACAGAGACCAGACAGAGACCAGACCAGGACTGGTTTTGGGGACGCTTTTATGAATAGAGGGAGAATAAAATGGAGCATTTGAAGATGTTGTGCATCTGTGTGTGTTGTGCATCTGTGTGTGTGTTGTGCATCTGTGTGTGTTGTGCATCTGTGTGTGTGTTGTGCATCTGTGTGTGTTGTACATCTGTGTGTGTTGTGCATCTGTGTGTGTTGTACATCTGTGTGTGTTGTACATCTGTGTGTGTGTTGTGCATCTGTGTGTGTTGTGCATCTGTGTGTGTTGTGCATCTGTGTGTGTTGTGCATCTGTGTGTGTTGTACATCTGTGTGTGTGTTGTGCATCTGTGTGTGTTGTGCATCTGTGTGTGTTGTGCATCTGTGTGTGTTGTGCATCTGTGTGTGTTGTACATCTGTGTGTGTTGTGCATCTGTGTGTGTTGTGCATCTGTGTGTGTTGTTGTAATCTTTATGGTTTAAAGGAGATCAAACACATCTCTCACCTACAGTCTCCAGAGCTGAATATATTCTAGTGTAAATATACTGTGAAAAATCCACCACACCAGGTCTTTCTGTCCTGGTCCCACACCAGGTCTTTCTGTGCTGGTCCCACACCAGGTCTTTCTGTCCTGGTCCCACACCAGGTCTTTCTGTGCTGGTCCCACACCAGGTCTTTCTGTCCTGGTCCCACACCAGGTCTTTCTGTGCTGGTCCCACACCAGGTCTTTCTGTGCTGGTCCCACACCAGGTCTTTCTGTGCTGGTCCCACACCAGGTCTTTCTGTGCTGGTCCCACACCAGGTCTTTCTGTGCTGGTCCCACACCAGGTCTTTCTGTCCTGGTCCCACACCAGGTCTTTCTGTGCTGGTCCCACACCAGGTCTTTCTGTGCTGGTCCCACACCAGGTCTTTCTGTGCTGGTCCCACACCAGGTCTTTCTGTGCTGGTCCCACACCAGGTCTTTCTGTGCTGGTCCCACACCAGGTCTTTCTGTGCTGGTCCCACACCAGGTCTTTCTGTGCTGGTCCCACACCAGGTCTTTCTGTGCTGGTGCAGAGTCTAGTGTGAGTGAACTCCTACATGAGCCTCACTGACATCAGACCTGCTCTGTGTGGGACTGATGGACACATGAGGAGCGCTAACCACTCAGCCAGGCCTTCTGCTGACACACACACACACACACACACACACACACACACACACACACACATACACGTTTTTGTTACCAGTGGGTCCCTTTGACAGGGCCGTTCAGAATGGGACCCATAGACATAATCTTTTTTTACCAAGACTTTAAGTAATACAAAACAGTCAATAGAAACCAAACAACTATTTTAAAGGAATTTTATTTTAGATTTTGTTTTCGAATTGCAGTGATTCTATTTTTGACATAGAATTTAATGCCACTCCATGTCCGATGTCTAAGGTCATCTGGT